TTTCGTGGGTAAGAACCTCACTTCTTGCATCTGAAGAAGTGAGGTTCTTACCCACGAAAGCTTATGCTCCCAGTACTTCTGTTAGTCTCAAAGGTGCCACAGGACCCTCTGTTGCTTTTTACAGATTCAGACTAACACGGCTACCCCTCTGATACTTGACACTCTGCTAGAACGGTTGTTTAGCACACGTGTTACAGCAGTGCCCGGGGGCCCGCTCAGGATCAGGCCCCATTGTGCTGGGGGCTGCATAGACCCCCTGGAATTACAGCCTTAAAGCAGGAGACACAAGGCGGGTGGGCAGGGGAGGGAGGTGCCGATGGGGGCACGTTTTGGGGGTGTTTTGTGGGGGCAGGATTTACAGGCAGGATCAGTCCATTTGTTGGCGTTTTGTACTTTGGATTTCTCTGGCACGGGAACATGGCCGGGGGGCTGAGACGTGAGACGCCTGTCTCAGGTGTCAGTCTTTGAGCAATCGCCGAGGCTGGGGTGTGGGGCGTGAGGCTGGGGCGTGAGGCTGGGGCGTAGGGCCGAGGCTGGGGCGTGGGGCTGGAGTCCAAAGTCACTCCTTCCCTCCTGGCATTGAACATGGAAATCGCTGGTCTGGGCCCAGCGCTGCATTTGGGGGGCCGGGATCTCAGGTGCTGCGTGGGAAGGGCGGGGAGGTGGGGCAGGCAGAGCAGGGCAGACAAGGTGCCTGGGTTTGGGATTTTGTCAGGTTTCCTGCCCCCGCTCCCCCCCCCCCCCCGCTCAGTGACGATGCCTCCGGGTCGGGGGGGTGCAGTCTCTAGCCGGCAGGGGCTGACAGCCCTGACCCGTACCAGTGTCTAAGGGCACTACACCGAGCTGTGGGCTGGGGGGCACTGGTTACTGGTTTCCCTTGTGGAACAGCCAATTTTCGGGGGGGGGCAGGATGGGGCCGTTGTGTGTCTGAGGAATGGGGCTCCTCAGGAAGGCAGCACCTGGCTTGGGTCACTTCAGAAAGCCGGCTTGGTTCTTCCTGGGGTTTCCAGGGGATTTTAATGGGTTATCCCCCCAAGAGCTAACAGTCGAGATCCCAGCTGCTCCCCCAACCAGGCACTGGCATTCCCCAGGAGTGAAAGCCTAGGACGGGGGCATCGGGGCATGAAGTGGGGTTATATGCGGGTCACAAAGGTATTTCCCCTTCTGACCATCATGGAGACTCAGTTTCCCTCAGGACCCTGTTCCATGTGCCAGGGCAGGAGGGGCGGGAGGGTGTCTCTCTGTGACATGTCCCGGGGTGGGGCGGGTGGTGGGGAAGGTCTGGAAAACATCAAAGGGAGGGAGACAAGGTGGATGGGGGAAAGCAGTGGACATAATATACCTGGACTTCAGCAAGACTTTTGACAGTGTCCCATGACATTGTGATAAGGAAGCTGGAGAAATGCAGTCTTGGCGGAACTACCATTAAGCGCATACAGAATTGGTTAAACAATGAGGGGGGACATGAGATCTGCCTTCAAAGACTTGAAAGGCTGCCATCAAAAAGATGGAGAAAAGTTGTTCTCTCTTGCCACGAGGGCAGGACAAGAGGCAACGGGTTCAAACTACAGCCCGGCAGGTGTAGATTCAATCTCAGGGAAACTGTCCCGACGGTAAGAGCAGTCGGACAGAGGCACAGACGCCTGGGGAGCTTCTGGAAGCTCCTTCACAAGCTGTCTTGTGACGGACAGCTCCTGTCTGGCTTGGATGGTTTAGACCCAATAAATCCTGCATCTCGGCAGGGGGTTAGACTAGGTGACCCCTGTGATCCCGTCTCCCCCGGGGCTCTGTCATTTATTGGACCGAGGGCTGTCGGTGAGAGAGACGAGCCCCCCCAGGTCCCCGGGCTCTTCTCTGCGGGGACGAGGTAATGAACTTTACCCAGGTTTGACATGTGGACTTCTGCAGCTCCAGGACAGCCTGTCAGCGCCACCCCCTGGGCAGAACATGAACTGCAGGTCAACGCTCACAGAGCTAGAAGCCCCTTAAAAACCCCCCTTTTGCCCTTGGCCGGCTGGTACGAGGCTCTGGATTGGCTCTCGGAGCTGAAGGCCAGTCTTTCCCCATGTCACTGCTTGGGGACCAAGTCCTCCTGCCCTTTTCTCCTTGGGAAACCTGCTGCCTCCTAGTCCCAGGGAAGCTGTGCCTGGCAAGGCCCTTTGCAAATTCAACCTCAGGGCAGGACCATCGTTCTTCCCACTGTACTGACAGGGAAACTGAGGCAGGGCGCCTCCCCCTCAGCGCACAGCTTGGATGATTAGCGACGTCCCAGCAGGGGTGGGCGCTGATCCTGGGTCACATGGCCAAGGGACAGTGCAGGCCAGCCCGGAGAGTCCTGGGGGAGCCCCTGCGTCAGTCCGACCCCCTAAAACAGGAGGTGATACTCGGGGCTGTGCTGGGCCCCAGCTATCACACTGATCACTAATGCTGCGTGCTGCCCACTGGGGGGGCGCTGTCCCTGCCCCCGGCCTGGCGATAGCAGCCAGGGGCACTGAGCTGACCCGACACGTCCCGGTTCCCCCGGCGCCTGCCCTGCTCTCAGGGAGGGGACGTCGCTTTTGGGGCTTTGCTGATTTCGCTGCCCACGTTTTGTTTCCCCAGGGACCTGAGCGAGAACCTCCTCCAGGCTGTGCCGAGGAAAGCCTTCCGCGGAGCCACCGACCTGAAGAACCTGTGAGTCGCCGTGGTCCAGTCGCTCCTCTGGCCTGGCTCCCCTTCCCCTCTGGGACGGGCCCCGGAGCTGTGCCAGGGGCTCCCCGGTGCTTTGCTCCAGGCTCCTGCATGCTGGGGGCGCTGGGGCGTGGGGAGTCCAGCTGGGGAAGGACGGGTCTCGGGGTGCAGACAGCCGTGAGGAGCGGGGGCGGTTACGGGCTCGGACTTGTTGCACTGGAGTCCCTGGGGCGTCCCGTGCTCTGCAGCTCCCCAGGGATGCAGACGGATGGACGCTGCCCTGCACCGCACGGCCCTCAGATGATCCACCGAGTGTGGCGATGGGGGGGGTTCAGCCCGGGAGAGCCACGTCTCCATGGCAGGGGGGCGGCCCCTGGGCAAAGCCCCCGGGCTCACAGCCAGGAGGCATGGTGGTGCCCGGGGCCCAGCCCTGGGGCACACCTGGGGCGATATCTGCTTAGTTCAGGCCAGGAGGGGGCCCCATGGGGGCAGATACTGCGTAAGCCCCCCCCCACAGCTCTGCGAAGGGCCACCCCCTCCAGTGCCAGGTCCCCAGCGGTCGCTCTGCCAGACAGGGCCTGGCACTTACCCTGTGTTTGGAGACTGCCCGGGACATTCGGGGCACTCTAAATAACAAATAATAATTGTAGTGCCCCGCACTCACGACCCGCAACCCCTGCTTTCCTGGCCCTGGGCTCCCCCCAAGCTCAGCCGTCGCCCCTCACTCACGACCCACAGCTCCCTGCCATCCCAACCCTGGGCTTCCCCCCAGCTCTGCCAGTGCCCCTCACTCCTGACCCGCAGCCCCCTGGGCCCTGACATTCCTCTGCCCAGCTCAGGGCCCGGCCCAGCCTGCCGACTATCCTGGGGCCCAGAGTCTGTTCAGCAAAACTGGCTCCCCTTTTGTTGTGCAGACAGCTGGATAAGAACCAGATCGGCTGCATCGAGGACGGGGCCTTCCGCGCGCTGCGGGGCCTGGAGGTTCTGTAAGTGGGGTGGGCACGGGGCGCTCCGCGTCTCTGGGGGGCGCGGGCTGGATTCGGAGCCGTGAGTTCGGCTGTCCTGGGGTGGGGAGTCTCCAGGTGCCAGCTCCGGGAACAGGCTGTCTGGGGTGGCCAGCCCGGCCAAGCCTCGCTGAGCAAACCGGGGCCAGTGTTGTGGGCCTTGCTAGCCAGGGGTGTGACCCGCTCTCTCCTTGTCCCGCAGAGCGGGTGCCCCTTTGGGCAGCCCCTCCCCTCCCCGGCAGGGGGGCAGACAGCCCGCGTTTAAGCTCTGTCCCAGCTGTCCCGACTTTTTTGAAAAAAATGGAGAGAAAATTGGCCATTGGTCCCGTTTGCTCTTCCCAGCGGATCAGCTGGCAGGAGCACACATAACTGCCCGCTCCACCAAACAGTCGGGCACTCGCCCTGGGGGGGCACGGAGGTACACTGGGGGGTCAGATCTTCAGGGGAGTCAGCCCCAGGCTCTGGGGGTGCAGCGCTTGGGGGCGGGGGAGCAGTCGCAGGGGGCATGGAGCTCGGACACTCAGCCCAAGCTCTGGCTGGTCTGTCCCAGCGGGGGGTCACGGTGGGGGGGGGGCGGGTCGTCGTCGGTC